CTCACTACTCTGCCTCATGGTCCTACAAATGTTGAAAGTCGCTTCTTCATTATTCAGCCAAAAAATCATCTGTCCCTTCTCCATATCAACTAGTGCTCTACCTGTAGCAAGGAATGACCTCCCAAGAATAATAGGCACTTCAAATCGACCTCGCAATCAAGAATAACAAAATCAGCCGGAAAGATGAATGACTCCATTCTTACTAGCACATCATGGAGTATTCCTATGGGCCATTTCACTGTCCAATTAGCCATCAGTAGCCGCATCGCAGTGGGTTTTGGATCCCCCAAAACCAATTTCTTGTGAATCGAGTGGGGCATTAGATTTATGTTTGCCCCCAGATCACATAATGCTTTCGCAAAATGTAATGACCCAACTGTACAAGGAATAGTGAAAGCACCCGGATCTTCTTTCTTTTGTACTAGGGATCTTGAGCAATAGCACTACAATGCTGCAGTCTATCATCATCCTCAAAAGTGACCGATCTTTTCTTGGTGACCAGATCTTTCATAAATTTGGCATAACCGGGCATTTGTTCTAGAGCTTCTACCAAAGGGACCTTGATAGAGAGCTTTTTCAACATTGTTATGAAGCCGGTATTTACCATCCTCGGTCTTTTTCACTAATCTCTGAGGGAAGGGAGGTGGTGGCCTAGGCATGGGAATTACCTTGATTGGTACTTCTGCATCTTTTCCATTACTTCTCTCTGCTTCACCACTACCCTTTACCACATTCTCATTATCCTTTCTCACATTTCCTCAGTAGATGGCATAGATGGGTCAATGGTTTGCCTACCACTCCGAGTAGTGATTGCCATACAATGTGCATCATTCTTTGGACTTTGGACAGTGTTGCTAGGAAGAGTGCCCGATTACCGTGTGTTCACTGTCGCAGATAATTGGTCCATTTGCAACTCGATCTGCTTAATCGAAATTGCATGTGTATCAACTTTTTTCCCAATACTAGCTAAATCACACCTCAACTCTTTAATGTGCTCATCACTAGCATCGAACCTCATCATCATTTTATGCAACATATCCTCAACTCACGACATACTACCTCCATCATCTCTAGGAGTAACTTCACGATTTTGAGGAGGAACATAGGGTCCATTCCTGTCGTTTCTATTACCATAGTTACCCTTGTTGAAGTTGTTGTCGCGATTGTAGTTTCCATCGCGGACATAATGACCCTCACGATTGTAGTTACCATAGTTCCGACCTTGGTTCCCTTGACCTTGGCGCCAATTCTCCTGATTAGAGCCTTGGGCACTTGGTCGGAAACCCCCCATCTATTCGTTTACTGCATAGGAATCCTCCTCATAATAACACTCATCGTTTGGAGGTGGTGGTTTAGCCAAATAGTTGACTGCATTTATCTTTTCTGCACCCCATGTGACATGTTTTAGTACCAACCCAAGCTCAGTTCTCATCTGAGCCATTTCTTCCCGAATCTCATCTGTGGCTGGGTTGTGAGTGGACTACACTACGAAGGTGTTTCTCCCTGTATCAGACTTCTTATTACTCCAAGCTTTGTTATTTCAGGAGATTTTCTCTTATTTTTCAGTAATATTAGCATAAGGGCATTCTCCATAAGATCCACCTGCTATAGTGTCCAACACCGCTTTGTTGTTATCATTCTGTCCCCGATAGAAGTATTCCTTTAGTGACTCATCATCTATACGGTGATTTGGAACACTTCTCAAGAATGAGGTAAATCTATCCCAAGAACTACTAACTGATTCTCCTGGTAATGCCACAAAGTTATTCACTCTGTGTTTGTGGTTTAGTTTCTTGGAGAGTGGATAGTAGCGTGCCAAGAAAACATCCCTCAATTGGTTCCAAGTGAAGATTGAGTTGTATGGGAGCTCAGTGAACCATATAGCAGCCTCTCCCGTCAGTGAGAGAGGAAACACTCTGAGACCTATTACATCTAGATCCAAATCAGGCCTCCCCACACAACTTTTACACACTGCCCTTACCTTAGCTATATGGGCATGTGGATCCTCATAAGGTAGCCCTGAAAACAAACCTCTGGCAGTGAGCATTTGTATCAGGCTACTAGTTACCACAAAAGTGTGGCATGTGGGTGGAGGGGGCAAGACAAGTGGCCCATCCGAGTCTGCTATGTTATCATACCCTCTGTAGCATGCTTCGGGCTGTGGAACAGGATTTTGTCCCTCTGTTGATGTTCACCCGGAGCATCGGGTAACATCTGACCATGAACATCAATCGGAGCTGGGATGTTCTGGTTCGGATCCTCATCATTTATTCCCAAGTTTTGATTCATATTGCGCAGTGTACGATCTAACTCACGATCGTAGGGAAACAATGGTTCTCTTCATCTCCGTGTATTTGGCATACAAGGAGGATAGTTCTGAAAAGGAATAAAAAACAATAAAACAAAGTAAAATCAAGAAAATATCAATTAAACTATAGTAATAAGTTCAAGTTAATCTAAAAGCTAAATTCCCCGGTAGCGGCGCCAAAATTTGATACGCTCAAACCTACTTCTCAAATAAGAAGTAAAGCGGTCGTGTCAACTAAATAACCCAACTACTGAGGTTGGGATCGTTCCCACGAGGAAAATAGTCTAGACTTAACTTCAACCTATTATTACTATTGTTTGGTCAATGACTTCCTTGGAAAGTAAAAACATAAAAAGGGGGATTTCTATCTCTAAATAAGTGAGAATAAATAACGAACTTGAAAGAGACACTTGACAACTTTTAATGTTGGGTTTTAATCAATTAATCAAAGTAACTAGGGTTTACGTGTTCCCAACAGGTTCATAACTTGATAACTCTAACTATAACAATTCTTTCCTAGTATCTTGCATGCAAAGTGATAAGTTATGTATTTCTAAATCCTTGGTCCGGCATCTAGAAAATCTCACTCCGCACCTTGGTCCGGCTACGTGTGTTGCTATCCTAACCCTTATCCTTACCTCATATTAAGCATCGTATATGATATTTGACTAAGTTATTACCTCGTACCAATCAATACTAGCCTATTAGATAGTATACACTAAATCTATGTTAATAATTCTTTTCCTATTATCTACCTCCTTGGTCCGGCAAGTAGCATTAAGGCGAGTTCTAACGTTGGTCATTCATTAAAAAGACTTCTAAATGAAAGAATTATTAATACATGCAAGACACTAATCTAGAATTGTTATTTTAGTTAGGGTTTATCTCATTATTTGCCTATGGTTCCCACAACCCTAGTTATGGAGTTTAGTTACTCATAGCCATAAACACAATATTCAAATATATTAAATACGAATTCATGTACTTACTTCAATGAGAAAGAGTAAAATCCAAAGTTTGCTTGATTAGTATCCCAAAAAATCACTTGCAAGAATCTCAAAATCCAACACTAATACACAAAGTCTAAAAATCTGATGTCTAATCTCATAGAGTCTAACCTCAAAAACGAGGTTTTTCAAACTATTTATAAAAAATAAAAACCTAATTAAACAAGGATTCTAATTGCTGGAAATCTGTCAAAACGCGGCTGGGTCGACGGACCACGCGACGGACCGTCATGGACTCCGTCGTCCCATAGTTGTGCAATTTCTTCTATTGCTATCTTCATTCCCCTCGACGGCAAGTATGACGGACCGTCATAGGCACAACGGTCCGTCGAGGGTCTTCGTTTCAAAACACTTCAACTCTTGAAATCTGGGTACTGGATCACTTCTCTGAACTTCATGACGAACCTGCAGAACGGACCGTCACAAGCTACGTAACCCCACACTTGGTCAGACTTCCCCATCTTCCTTCAGCAGCTTCTCTACGCTGCCACCTACGGACGGTCACAAGCACGATGGACCGTCATCAGCTCCGTAGGTGGTCTTTTCTGCAATTCTTCGCTCAAAATCTCTGCATTTAGCTTTGGACAGATTTCGTGCAAAACAAAGAGATGCTTATGTAAAAATTATCACAAAAAGGCTTTTGGACACACTAAACTTAAGGAAAAAGTATTAATAATACCGTGAAACCACGGTATATCAATCTGGTCCATCAATTGACTTGATATTTTCAAGTAACTACCAAATTCTATGTAGTTAACTGATCTCTTATTCATTGAGTTCAACCAATCCATATAATTCTTCGAACTAGTCTCAATCATATGTGCTCGAAAAGTATCATCATGAAGAAATTAAAGACCCAATTTCCACCATAGTAACATGCTTTAAAATTCTCAAAGCATCAAACTCCAATGCACCAAAAGTGTTCACAAGAACTATTTGATTTTCTTCATTATTCAACATTTCAATATGCCTTTTAATAGAGTTAACTGCTCAGTTGGTACTTTCCACTTCATCAAACACAAAAGACAGAAAATCAATTGGACTAAGTGGTGACAATCCGGTAACTCTATTATTTTATCCTTAGTATTACATTTTTTGAAATAATCCTAATAGTTTGTGAATCTATAATAGTAAACATAAAAAACTGTGGCTGGATGGATACAAAATAATGTAGATTGGATTAATTTTTTTGATCACTAAACCATCCATTCCAAGATAATAGTATATATGTTATGTAAAAAATCGATAGTGTTGACACTTAATTTTGACCAAACATTTTAAAAATTCATATAATTTAAATTTTATTTATTTAATAGTTCAAAATACAATGTTATAATTTTCAATAACTTTATTGATAACTATTTCTATTTGTCAAAATTTTAAAAATTTTATGAGTTATTTTAATAACATTAATTTTTGTCACACCCGTTCATTTTTATTAAACTAGTATTTTTGTTAAATTACACTATTACATGTCATTGATTACATTTATTATATTTTATAAATATTTTTTTTATGTGTTATCTTTGCTAATATTTATTTTAATATTTTGCACAATCTAAAAATTTATTCAAATATAGATAATATTTCATACACAAATATTTATATTTAATAGTGATTTCGATCCTTATGTTTTTTAGATAATGATATTGTAAATACATGTGATTTTTGATTTTCTATTTAACTTCTTTCTTAGTCATGAAGTAAGGATGGGGGTGGATAAAATAATTTAGGGTTGGGTTCTAAATTTTTCAGTTATTTGAAGAAAGGTCTCTTTAGTGTTCATGAGCTTCTCCCGGCAACTCATCGGAACTCTACCGGGATCTGGCGTGTCCACCACCCAATTATCCCCCATTTCGCCTTCCTTCTCTCTTTCCGTTTCCGGCCAGCAACCATCACCTCCAAACACCCATTTTACTCTTCTATTCGCCTGAATCACCACCAGCAGCCGTTCCTCAATCACCTTTCAAAACCCATCGGAGAAACAACCAACTCACAACCCATAACACTACCAACAAAAAACTGACCCGTCAAACCAGACCCATTCCCACTTGAAGTAGCCACCAGTAAACAACAACCACGAAAATCAGCAGACCCAACACCTCATTATTAAACCACCATTTTTTCTCACAAGAACAGCCACCAAACAACCCAAAACTTGTTTGAAAACAACCATCATATAAGAACCATAAACAAGTTATCAGTTAGATTTCAGCTCCGGCGGAGACAAGCTATGAGCTTTGAAATCAGCGACAACAACCTCTGTGTCCGTCAATGTCTGGTTATCTTTTGATCGAAGAATGGTATATTACAGAACCCCAACCCTTTTTCTTGTTATGTTTGTTCCTTTAATTATTTCATGTTTTATTTCCCTTCGATAATCTCATTTTTTGTTTAATTTCATAGGTTTTTGTATTGGTCTGATCGAATTTGATATTTTCCAATATTGTTCCCTCATTTCCTTGTTAAAATTTTACCTCGACTATCCCATTCTTTTATTCATATTTTTGTTTATATCTATCTGTAGCTACTTGGCCTAAAAATTCATATATGTGCCCCTTTTGTTTTGATTAGGAATTGTTATTTTTATAAACATATTATTGATTTTTACTGTTTTTATTTTTATTTTTTAATATTAATATTTCCTATGGCTGAAAGCAACTTTATAGCTTAGACATTTTTAAGTACTTACACTTAACTGTTATCTTGTCGTGATTGTTTATTATTATTATTATTATTTTTAATATTTGATTAATTTTCATTTTTTCTCTCTTTGTGTTTCTATTATTTAATTCTTAGTTGAGTTGTACATTTTGTTACTATTTTATTTTATTAATGTTTATATGTGTTCCAGTTTTTAAATTTGGTATATATTTTAATATGTTTTGTTAAATATGATTCCGTTCACCTTATTGTGTTGATGACATATTTCTCTCATGGTCTCTTTATTTTATTTCGCTATTTTTTCCTACTTTATATCTTTTTTGTCATAAATGTGGCTTCATTTTGTTGCCATTATTATTGTGGTGTCACAAGTTATGTTATCTTTTTGTAGTTTATGTAATTTTGTGTTTACAAGTAAATTTTGGTCATAGAATAGGCTCTGGACTTAAAATCACCCGCTTTTAGAAGTCTAGAAGGAGACACTAAACTAGTCGGACTTGCTTGAATCGATAGGCTTACCGGGCTTCTCTGTCTATTCAATTGATTTTGTTACAGACTCTTTCCCACGCCTATTTCTTGTCCCGGCCCTGTAGTGGAGCTTGCCCGCCATAGGCCTATTGAGATCTTTCCCTGTGCGGGTAAATTTGGGCTCAGGAGGGGAATACCCGGTTGATCGAAACTTCAACCAGAAGAGGTAGGCTCGAGTTTCTAGTAGGAGAAATCTCTACTTCTGTTTTGTAGGCATTTCCATTTTAAAAGTTTGAAATTTAGTTTAAATTTATATATTTGTAGTTGATTATTGGATGAAGAAATTACTGTCTATTTCCTAGGCCTCCATGTTAATAAGACGGATTTTAATTTTTAAGTTATTATTTGAGTTATTCATTTTTATTAATATTTATTTAGCACTAACACTTTTATTACGTGTCTTTATATGTAAATGAAGTTGCTTTCCATTGGAGCTACTTGAATAAAGTTCGAATCATATTGTTTATTTATTATAGTATATTATCAATATTAGAAAAATTTTAGGTCGTGTCTTATATTATTATTTTATTTTTATTACTTGTGTACATTGCATATTATTATACCTGTGTATTGTTTTTATTTTCTCCTTAATTTTGAAAAATTGAATTCAATCGGGACCCGTAGTTGTAGATTTCTACGTATGTCTAAATCTTTCCTTCGAAATAACGTTAACCCCTTACCTAGAATTTAATTGTTTCGTAGACCACTTTAGTTGATTTTCTAGTTTTTTCCTAAAATTAGGTGGAGACTCCTTTAAAATTTCATTTATTCTTTAAGTTCATTAAAATTGAGTTAATTGGCATTTTTATGTCGCTATGACATTTCGCCCTATTTGAAATAAGTAGGGATGTAAACATGTACCAGTTTTTGCATTTTATTGGATCAAATTGAAAATGAATTTTGACCCCCGAGACTCTGTAGATGAATAGATCAAATAAAAGTCATCAGCCATCCGAGAAAAGGAGCAAAGCTTTAATGTTTCAACGTTTGGGAGTTCTTTTATTTTACTAAAGCTAATAGGCTCGTGGTTAAAAAGACTTCAATTCCTTGATTGATTAATTGTTTGGAAAATTGAAGACATGGATGGGTTTATTTGGCCTTTGCCTTGAAAGAGTGCTATAAGAACACAAGGCTTTCTATTCTTCAAATTTTTCATGTTCTCGGTGGTGTAAAAGGAAATATTCATGAAGGAGAATGACGGTTTTGGAAAGGAGAACTTTATTTATTGAACTGTCTTGGTTACAACTTATGTGGGTGACACATATTTATACCAATAAATAGATAGTTCTAGATACAAAAAAAATCTAAAAATTTCATTATATTCTTTAAATATTCACCTTAACCATTTAGTTTTGATCTAATGTTAATATTTATATAATAAAACAGTATCAAAAGATATTTTACTCAACATTCTAGAAACTCCAATAAGTATTGAATTTATTGTTATTCTAAAGTAAATTTAATATGTAGCAAAAAATTAAATAAAAAATACGTGAATACTTTAGTAAGTAGGAAAATAATATAATGATAGCAAGTAATATGTTTTCTCATTAAATATAACGAGTGTTGACGATTTTGAGATACAAAAGCATGATATTTATTTTTTTAGGAATCATCATCGTCATTATTATTTAGTAAAATAAACTAGCAAGTAACGCATGTGAAAAATATGATACAAGTCAATGTGTGTGTATATATCACTATGAGTGATGTGGTAGTGTAACGTCTAGACCACATACCCGAACTATTTTATAACTTGTGAGAATGTAGAATGCCTCAACTAAGTGAATCCACTAGTCTAATAAGCTTAATGAATCATCTAAAAAGTATGACCCTTCTACCAACAAAGACTACATGGTTTATGGAGACTTGATTTATTATGAACTCGTTCCCATATCGATGCTTAATACTACTTCTATGATAAACTCGGCTCATATGTTTAAAAACATAACTCTTTCTCCGTGGTTTGAGCTTAGTACTCAAAAACCTTGTCTCTTAAATAAAGTGAAACTCAAAACTACTCATGAAACTCGTTTGGAAATCGGTGTTTCATCTCTTGTCTAAATGTAAAAACATTTTAAGTCTCGGAAATACTTAGTTCCCATATAATCATTTGAAGAACTGAACTTCACTATTACTATCACTCAACTAAGTGTTCAAGTCTTTAAAACAAGTTTAAAACATGTGCAAAAGACTTTTGGAAAAACTCTAAGAAATCTCTAGACTTGGCTCTTTAGGTTCCTTGAATTTTTTATTTATGAATCAAAGTGATTCGTATTTACGGGTGATTTCTAGATGCTTAGAAGTTATTTATAGTAGTTAGAATTGATAGGAAGTGTTAGTTCACTTTAGAAGGACTTAGACGGGCTAAACGACAAAGAACAGGAGGGGCCAGACATCCCGGGCGCACGACTGGCGCAAATCACCAGCCCCTAAAATCAAATGTTGCAAAATGGATCAGAGTTGGCGCGCCGCCCCAGCCTCTGTGGTGCAAATGGGGTGCGTCGCGCCAGCTTCGCATAGGTATTCATGATGAATTTTCAACTTATTTTCTAACTTTAATTTGATTCTTTTTCTCAATTTACCAAAGGGTCATACATCCAATACATGTACACAATAATATACATCAAAGAAACTCTAAAAATCAATACTATTATCTCAGGAACTCCTCATTCTCAGCTAAATTCAAGAACGAAAGCAAATTCAAGAACACATAAAGAAAATCAAAATTTCAATCTTTTTAGGACAAATTCATGCTAAAATAAACGGTACGTCGAGAGTCTCCGTTCCAAAACACTTCAACTCTGAAAATCTGGGTACTAGGAGCGACTCTTTGAACTCCGCGACGGAACTGCAGCATGGACCGTCGTAGATACTTGTACCCAAAATGCATAATCATTTTGTGAAAATTGAGGATTTATTCTAAAGTGAGGGCAGTAGTTGTATTATGAGAAAGTTGATACCTTGGTGAGAGGAAAAATAGTAGAGATCTCTGTTGCATGGTAAAATTTGTGTCATGATGTGACGTATGAGTTAGCTTATTGGACGTGAGAGCATAGGCCTGCATTCAATCAAGAAAGAGTCACAATACATAGTGATGTGATTGATAGATATTAAAGTACTTCTTCTATGGAACTATTGTTTAGGTTCATAGTTTGTCACATGAGGACAAATAATGAATCTAAGTTGAGGGTGTCGATGTACCATGATTTCACGGTATTTCTAATGGATTTCACTTAAAGTTGTGTGTGTCTAGATCCTATTTGTAGTGGTTTTACGATGTCTTGTATCTTGTTTTGAAGGAAAGATATTTGGGCAAAAAAGATAGAAGACAACTGAGAAAAGTTCATAAAACAGACCTATGAAGCCAATCGGCGGTCTGTCGTTCAATCGACAAACCATAGGTGGTGATTGTAGATAGGTAGCTCAGACATTTGAGGAAAATCTGGGAAGTCTGACTAAGTGTGGAACCACGAGAGGAATTGATGGTCCGTGGATTGATCGACGGATTGTACTCGTGAACCATCATTTGTTTCAGAGAATGTTCTAGTACCTGATTTTTGAAGATTCTAAGTATGGAGGTACAAAGGAGTATCGACAGCCCGTAGATGGATCGTCAGAAAGTGATGTTGGTTTGTCATTTGATTCAGAGGGTTCCATCCAGAGGGAAAATTATTTTCTAGTCCTGACTAACAGAGCAAACAATGGACCGTCAGTTGAAGTCGCATCCTTGAACAAAACATTCCTTATTTTAATTCCTTTTTTATTAAGACTTTGTTCTCTATTAATAGGGTATTAAAACCTCGTTTCTGGTGTTAGATACTATTATTCTTGTCCTAGATTCTATATTAGAGATTGATTTTGCAACTTTAGCTATTAGTTGATTTTCAGATTCGGCTTTGAAGCTTGTGGTTTGAATTTCAAGTGTGATTTGTGGGTTTATTCTTCTTGCTAAGTAAATTCATGATTTCATCATCTAAAACTACGAATTGTGATCTTGCTAACATGGGTAACTAAATCCACAATTGGGTTGTGGGAACCATGGGTAATTAACAAAGTATGACTAGCAACTAAACAATTCTTGAATAGTGTTTTGCATGAATTGATAATTATTTCGCTTAGATGTCTTTTTAACGGTGGCCAACGTTAGAAATTTCCTTGTTGCTACTTACCGGACCAATGAGGTAGTTAGTAGGAAAAAAATTATCAATATAGATTTAGTATGATACTATCTAATAGATTAGTCTCCATTGGTGCGAAGTAATAACTAACCCATACATCGATTATGATGTCTAATATGAGGTAATGGTAAGGGTTCGTAAATTATAGACACGTAGCATAACAAGGTGCGGGGTGAAATTCTCTAGGTGTCGGACCAAGGATTTAGAGATACCTAACTTATAACTTTGCATGTAATACACTAGGAAAGGATTGTAATTTCTAGGAATACTACATTATGAACACGTGGGAAACACATATACCCTAGTTACTTGCTCATCTTGATAACAACCAAACGTACTTCTGTTCACTTCTTAACCATACTATTGAACGAATTTTGTTTCAGATCCCCCTCCCCCTTTACTTACATGTTTTGAAAATATGTTGACTAAACAAATATAATTGCGGGTTGCAGTTGAAGTCTAAACCATTTTTCTCGTGGGATCAACCTGAACCTACAAGTTGGGTTCATTACTTGATAATGGTCGCTTATGCTTCTTTAGGGAGCTGTAATTTGAGCATTTCAACAGCATGACTCCATTTAGATGATAGTTGATAGAGTTCCTAAGTCTGTGCGCCTTTTGGTTGTTAAGACTACAAAAATTTGGCGGAGTACTATGTCAAGCCTTACATTAATGAGATAATCAGGTTGCTTGGGGTTCGTTTTTCTACAAGACTTGGTACTCAAGTTAACCTTAGCACAACATTTCATCAAGACACGGATGATCAAGAAGAGCATACTATTCAAACCTTTGAGAAAATGTTCACAGCCTACGTGATTGATTTCAAGGGCAGTTGGAATGATCACCTTCCTCTTATAGAGTTTGACTAGAATAATATCTACCATTCCATCATTTAGATGGCCCCTATAAGGCATTGTATAGGTATAGATGTAGATCTCCAGTTGGTTGGTTTGAAGTAGATGATGCAACCTTGATAGATCCAGATTCAATTTGTGATGCTATGGAGAAACTGCAACTCATTAGAGATTGACTTAAGACAACTCGTAGTCGCCAAAAGTCCTTCACAGATGTAACGAGAAGAGAATTAAAGTTCGAAGTTAATGATTAGGTTTTTTTATGAAAGTGTCACCTATAAAGGGGTGATGAGATTTTAAAAAAACTGGAAGCTCTGTCCTAGATAAGTAGGACCTTGCAAGTTTTTTAAAAAAGTTGGTAAAATGGCTTACGATTTTTATTTGCCAGCAAAACTAGC